ACGATATAAGGATGTATTTATTAACGAACATTTAACACCATTGAACAATCATATTTTTCAATACGCTAAACAAAATCTAAATAAACAACAAGTATTTACACGTAATGGTAATGTTTACTATTATTTGTCTAAAGGAAACCAGCGTTTGCTTCGTTCGGTGCCAGATATTGATGGTCTAGTGAAAATGGATGAATAACCGTGATTCACATTCCTTACTTATGGACAGGCTAGTACAACTTTTTTCATTTACTTTATTTTGCTCTGCTTTTGCTTTGTGTTCTGGCGATATATTACTGTGTTATGATGGAGGTGCGGTTAGGATTTTCTTTCCACCATAGTTGGAAATTCGAGTAATGCGTCTGCTAGTATAAAAATTTCATCAATGAACATAAGAAGTCTAGTACCTCAACAGGATGCTGTTAGCGCTTATTTTTCCCTGATCAGCCCAGCAGTGCTTTGTCTCACTGAAACGTGGTTGGATAACGCTGTCGCTGATAATGATATAAGTTTTTTTGAATATCATGTTCCTTGGCTTCTCGATCGTAACCGTCATGAAGGAGGTTGCGCAATTTATGTTCGGACAGACTTTCACTCAGTTAGACTTGTAGAATTTGAAGAGACTATGTTTGAAATTCATGCGAGTCGTTTAACATTAATGAATCAACAACATGTAACAATCTTAAATATTTATTGTCCTAAAACAACCACTATGCAACGTCTCCTTGCTCGTTTAAGTACTATTTTAGATGAGTTTGGCAAATCTAAGTACAAAGACGATATACTGCTCTGCGTAGGAGACTTCAATGTACATTTCCAACCTTGGGCGAAAAGTGATGTTCCGTCAACAAAAGAAGGAATCTTGCTAGACGAATTTCTTGGATCTATGAACTTATCTCAACTTGTTTCTGGAGTCACTCGTATTGCATCTAAGACTTGTCTAGATTTAGTTATAACTATGAATTGATTGTTCTTAAAAAATGTAGTTATTGAACCACCTTTAAGTAACAGCGATCATAGTTTTATAGAATTTAATCTAAATATGAATATCACTCGTAAAAATAAAGTTATTCGTACGGTTTATGATTATAGTCCGGTAAATTGGGAGGTGGTACATGCACGCTTTAACGAGATTCTTGTAGATCAAATTCTAAAAAATTATAATAATGTTAGTGAAAGAATGCAAGCGTTCGAAGAAATATTTTTAGAACACATTAAGAAATATGTGCCTCATAAAGTGATAACTATTGAACCGTGTGATAATTTGGTTTAATGATAAGTTGCGCGTGCTATATAAAAGAAAGTGTCGATTATATCGTAAAAGTAAACAATCAGACTTTCATTTGAATTTGTATAAAGAAATAGCAAAAAAGTTTTAAGAGGAACGTATAGCTACTAAAGAACAGTACCACAAAAGAATAAATGCAAAAGTATGTGCATCTTCTAAAAATTGGTGGAGTTTGGTTAAGCATTCAATGGGTAAAATGAGATACACTACCATTCCAGCGTTGAATAATAATAACAATGTAATTATTACTGAGACACAAGAGAAAGTAGAAATTTTGAATGACTTTTTTGCTGAAGTTTGTACTTGGCATGGGCCGTTTGTTGATCCTAAAATTGCAGATATTTTATCATCATCCTCCGTTTTCCTTCATGAGTTTAAAGTTGAATTGTCTGATGTCGAGAAGTTGTTACGTAGGTTAGATCTTAGTCGTTCGTGTGCTCCTGCAATAACTAATCGTATGTTAAAATTCGATTGTGCAACCTTTGACCACATTGGTACATGAATCGTTTCAAACCTCTACTTTTCCCTTTCACTGGAAAAATGGTATCGTTAACCCTTTGTATAAAAGTGGAGATAAACTAGAAAGATCGAACTATCGTCCTATAACCCTTTTACAAGCCTTTTCTAAGGTACCAGAGCGTTTAGTTAATAAGCAATTGTATACACATTTTATAAAAAGTAAACTCTTATCGGAAGCTCAATCGAGTTTTGTAGCTAAAGACAGTACGACTAATCTGTTACTTGAAGTTGTTCATAAGATAAACTCTGGCATTAAGAGAGATAAATTTGTTCGAGCAGCTTTATTAGATTTTCAAAAAGCCTTTGATAACGTAAATCACGAGTGTTTGATTTTCGACTTATATAAGAAAGGTATTCGAGGGAAAGCTTTGAAATGGATTGAGGACTATCTTGCTGACCGTAGTATTCAAACTGTTCTTGATAGTCATATTTCCAAGAAACGGTCTGTAACTAAAGGTGTCCCCCAAGGCTAGGACCCTTACTTTTTCTTGTGTATATTGATGATCTACCCATCGGAATCGAAAGTTCTATTAAATTGTTTGCTGTAGAGATGTGGACGGGTACGATTTTCATACCGGTACCCGACTCGAAAATTTCATTTTTACCCGCACCGTAGTACCCGTACCCGTACCCGACCCGTACTCGTACCCGAAAACGCAAACGTGCTAAAACAATACATATATGTAACTTTATCTACCAAAGAAAAAAATAACAATAGACAATATCAGTTTTCATTGAAATTACGCAAGAATACCAGAGAATCAACAGATTCTGGACTTAATAATTGTCTTCGAGCCTCTAATATTCTTCCTGTTTCACTAAATATTCGTTCAGCTGTGGCTGAGCTGGCTGGAATTGCTAATAATGATAGTGCTAAACGTGACAATTGTTTATAAATTATTGAACGATCTTTCCACCACGTTAAAATATTTCCACCTTTTGGATAAATGAATTTTGTTTTAATATATTCATTTATTTCATCATATGCACCTCACAGAAAAATGAATATGTCAGTTTGTTATATATTTTCTTATTTGATTTATAACTTCGAGACTAAAGCGAACGAATAACATTAGATTTCCTCGGGTATAGTCTAAAAAAATCTAACCCGTACCCAGCCTTTGGATCGGGTCGAGTACGGGTACGGGTTGCACATCTCTAGTTTGCTGACGATGTTATACTCATTTATCATCATCCTAATTCTTTGATATGTAGTAATGTTATGAATAAAGCTCTGATACAAGTGCAGGACTGGTCTGAAAGATGGTATATACCTCTTAATCCCAAAAAATGTGAATCAATAACTTTTTCTAACAGGTATAATCGCAATACAGCAGTAACATTACCACCTCTTCGATTACACGGCTCATCGATCAGAGAACATGAGGAAGTTAAGTATTTAGGCTGAACAATTGCACTTGATCTTGCATGGAATTCTCATGTAAATAAAGCCAGTGTTAAGACATCTTCTATTGTGGGTTTAATGAAATATCATCAACGAACTTTAATGAAGAATGTTTTAGAAATTATTTATAAATCGTGTGTTTTGTCTATAATAAATTATGGTGCAATACTTTACT